AAAAAAAAAATTTGTCCCGACGACCTATCTTTTATACGCAAATGGCTGCCGTATTCAAAAATATGCTATTTTTGTATTCAAATTATGGGTTTTGTATTTTATTTTAATAGAAGTTGATGTTAATTTTGCAATTATCCATCAATTTTTTAAAATTAAACACTATCTACAGATTTGCATCGAAGCGTTTCTTATGATAGTGATTTTAATCACTGTCAGATTAAATCTATCTGGACCCAACTATGCAATGTCTCCACTATGCCGCGACCCCACTGTGCTACCGTTTTTTTTCTTTATTTTATAGTATATAGCCATAAACAATGTAAAATTTAATATATGTTTAAGCTCAGAGAATTTTCTGAACATTTGCTAAATCTTAGTAGAAAAAGTTAATTTTTTTTGCAAAATATCAAATAAATGGAAAATATCTAAGGAAGTTATTAAAAAAAATTATTTTGTTTCGTTCATTTTTAAAAAGAAAAATAAGTTAAACAAATTTGGACACTTACTAATTTTAAAAATAGTAAACAAATCTATTAAATTTAATTCTTTAATATATTAAGCCCGTTAAGTACTCAATTTTCATTTATTTAATTAAGCTGTACGAATATTGCTTTGCGTCTAATACGAGAAGTCTATGAGGTAACAATAATTGTAATATAATAGCAGATGTTATATTATAAATTTTAGTCTTACTATTTTTAATAGTAGAACAAAGTAAATACGTGTCTTTTAAAGCTTTGTCAAATTAATTTTTGTTAAAAAGATTTCAACGACAAATATTATTAATTATTTTCAAATGTTTTCATTAAAACTTGTCAATTTTAGTTTTTTATTATTTTATGTGATTATATATTCGAAAGCATATAATACTTCTATCAAATCAATGTATCTATTAGATAAGTTACTAAATTTTCCGGGATGGAAAAATTTAAATGATGTAAGATCTATCGAATATCGTCATAAAACATATTATCTTAATAATCTGATTCAAACACCTACATTAAAGGTTAAAGGTGAACAAAAGATACGAGCCTTGACTATATATCTCAGTTGCACGTATGCAAAAGTTATGAATAATATTTTTTCAGTTATTATCAACTGGCAAAAAATGTATAAGGAAGAAAATAAAGAAGAAATAAACTTAATAAATAGATGCATTTATACTGAAGAACTCATAAACACAATAACCACATTAATTGTTCCAATAGCAACATTGTTAAAAGGCGCAATAGACACTTTGGATTTATTACATCATTTACCATGGGCTACATTTAAAAACTATCACCAAAAGCCCATAATAAGTCATTTATTGGATAAAATAGGATGTATTTTTGACCAATTGAATGATTCAATTCTATCAATTGACGATAGATTTACAAACTGTTTGACATTTAATTTAGTACATATATATTTTGATAAAATAATAGATGAATTAAAACATGAAACTGACACATTTTGTGAATTTGTACCTTACAATTCGAATTATTTATGGAATAAATGTATACAAGAATATAGAGCCTTTAATAACCAGGGAGTACAATTAATATTTTTCAAATTCTTAACAAAAAAAATTAAAGATTATATCAAGACAGTAATTGTCGAAAAGTATTTTCAACTGGGATTTAAATTTGATCCAATTACCAACGAAACATTTATACAATCTCCAAAGGAACTATTTGAACTAGGTATTTAAAATAATACAATATTAATTTAAATATTAATATATAGTCTTTTATATTTTTTTATGAATCTAGAATTAGAATTTAGAGCAACAGACGAAGAACCTTCAAGGACAGTAAAAATAATAACTTATTAGATGTTGTAATAAAATTAATTTTGTTTTTATTATATGTTTCATAATTAATTACATTATTAGTATTACTTAGTAAATATTTAAATTATTACTAAAACTTAAACGTTATGATAATTACGCAATTATTTATTGGTCGTATACATGGAAATTTAATATATTATTGATATCAACAATTATAAAACTTTAATAAAAAAAATTCTTCATAATAGTTATTAAAAGACTTGATTTCATTATTGAATCATTATTTAATAAATAAATTAGTTAATTATACATGCATGCATTTTAAAGGCTGATATTGTTTATTAAATTTTTTTGTCTTATGTATATGTATGTTCTTTTTATATTAAAAATATATAATAAAAAAACACTGAAAAACGGGGTTGCAGAACAATGGATAAAACTAAAGACAATATCTGACAGTGATTGAAATACCATATCATAAAAAATCTTCGATGTAAAACAGTAGATATTATATAATTTTTAGAAGGAATAGTTGTGTTATTTAAAAAGCAATATAAATATATTTTATGATTTATATGTATTATACACAAAGTTGTTAAAATACGGTATTTTATTTTTTTGTTGTATAATATCGTATAATACTGTATAATACCGTATAAATTCTTGTGGCACCTTAAAATTTGGGAAAAAATAAACTTTAGAGTGATTATTTTTCATAAAACTCAATAAATAAATGAGTACTTACTGAAAAAGCCTTTAGCAAAATTGATGAAAACAAAATGTTCAGGGAGTAATTAGTTAAAGTATTGAACTAAGGTATTTCTCTATCCNTTAGTTAAAGTATTGAACTAAGATATTTCTCTATCCAGAATTCCTCTCTAGAGGATGATTTAGTATCAACTAAGTACCAACTATAGTCAATTTGCAATAAGATACCACCCATGATGTTAAAGGTCTGAGAACTCTACTTTTTTAAACAAGTATAAATACACAATTGGAATTTTACCACATTAAAAACTTAAAATTTTTAATAACTTAATAAATAAAATAATAAAACTTACTTTTTCGTAACAAAAAAAAATCCTATCCTTTAAATAAATTATTAAAAAATTAAAATATGGCATCTTATTGTTAATCTTAAAATCTATAATTGTATTAACGTTTGTTACCTTAAAAAAAATAACTTAAGCACCTTATCGATTATAAATTTTAGTATCACAGAGTATAAGAATTAATTTTTATAAAGCATGAAATATTTTATAATCTTAATTTGTATATGTCATGACATCATCAAATAGTTCATCTGTTTCATTCTCGCTTTTGCTTTGATAGACGACCCATCTTAGTTCGTAATTTGCAAATAATACTTTAAACATAAACAATTTAAATCACAAAAAAATACTTTTACCACAGAATAGATTAACCTGTTCTATGCTTTTATTTTCTTCCATTTGAACTGACATGCGTTGGCGCTTAAAATGTGACAAGATTATTGTGTGGTAATACTAAAAACATACTGAGACCACGGTTATACCGTACACAAGTCCATTGCTTTTGTTTGTTATGATAACCATGTTTCCCTGGCGGATCTGACAACTAATTATGTTTTAAAAATATATCTGTTAATCTACAATAATAATCACGAATATAGGTAGATTTAAATGTTGAAAATAGAAAATGTTAACACAAAATTTTCATATTTTTTGACTACGGCAATCATTTGCACATAGATAGTAAGTCGTCGGAACAATTTTTTTAATAGTTCATAATCCTGCTCTTATTTTACATATGTGTGAAGATTGGTGTATTTCCGGAACATTTTCTAAATTTAAGTTGAAAAAAAAGATAACACAGTTTACAGATGTCGTGGCATAGTTGGGACAAGGATTGTTGATATTTTACAATGATTAAAATTACTATCATAAAAAACGCTTCGATGCAATTCTGTAGATAGTGTTTAATTTTAATAAATTGGTGGATTTTTCCAAAAGCAAAATTAACTTCTATTTTTATTCTACTTTGATTGCCTTTTGCACCTAGAAAATAGGTCGTCGGTACAAATTTGTTTTTTGAACTTCTAATACATAAAATAAGATTTATTTTAACATATATTTAAAAGATTTCCCGGACTATTTTCAAAAATTAAGTTGAAAAAGTTCTACTTTTTTTATAAATTTTCAAGTTTTAAAAAAAGCTTTTTTTAACTTTGAAGAGACAAAATAATCAAAATAAGTATACATTTATATTTAATGTAAGTCAGATTCGTAAATTTTATATTTATTGGTGGACTCATTACTATGTTTAATCCTTATAAGTTATTTTAAAATAATCACAAAAATGACATGTTTTTTAACAGAATAAAGAAATGTTTCTTCTGCATAAAGAAGTAGGTTTAATGTATAGTACGTAAGTATAAAGGACGCAGTATTTCCGGAACATATTCAAAAGTTAAGTTGCAAAGTTCTACTTTCTATATGCATTCTTAAGTTTTGAACCCCTCCTGTATAATCAAAATGGTCCGATTTAAAAATAAATATGTTGAGAACTAAGAGAACTATATAAATAGTAGTAAAAAATTATGTTGATCCTTTTTTTTTAAAAAAAGTTATAGCAATATAAAGTTAAACATGTAAAATATGAAATCGAGAACTTCACCATAAAAATACCATACGGTAGTCATTTTCACCATGAAGACAAAATAAAAGCCAAATTTTTTTTTTTTCAAAATTAAGTATATTACATTAGCATTAATTTAAAATATATATATAAATGTCAGTATTTCCGGAAAACTTTCAAAAATTAAATTGAAAATGTCCTAGTTTCAATACGCATGTTTAAAGTTTTGACACCCTTATTTAAAGAGATATGATCCGATTTAAAAAAAAAACGTGTCTGATAAAATAGGTGTATAAAAATTATTTATAAAAATATACTTATATTAATCCATACAATTTTCCAAAAGTTATAGCAATATAAATTTATAAAAAGTAAAATATAAAATCGAGAATTTTTTCACGGAAATCGTACGTTTTTCTTTAACTTTGATGTCCGTTTTCACCACGAATATATATCAAATAATAGATAGGTAATATCTTTTTGGTTATTTATAAAAAAGTTATGGCAGTTTTAAGTAAAAAAAATTGAAAAAATTTCAAAAATTAGCGATTTTTAAATCTATAATTTTGATATATTATTTTTATAATTTTATAATATGAGGTTTCCCTCATTTACGGGGGACGAAGGAAATTTGTTGAGGGTAATGTCTTCTGGGTGAATTATTAAATGGGAAATTGAATTTTAAGTCTCGGTTATTATTTATATGCAGTTAAAGTCAATGTGATTCTATTCTAAAATAAATAAATTATTTACAATAGGCTAAACAAGAAGAAAGCTATTTATACACACTAATAATTTGTAGTAGCATCTTAATATATTAAATAAAATAAAAAAGTTTTCTTATGGAAGAACTAATGGAGCCTCAGCTTATAAATTGATTTTTGAAAATGTTTTTCATCCCCTCCCATGGCAAAGTTCGTTGACTGTTACTGATATTTATTCATTTGTATTATATTTTAATATTTTTTAATCGATCTATGTATAGCTCAATACAAATATATTGATATCATTAACTGTCTTCTTTATATGATACATATTACCATACGTATCTATTTATAATTCTAAGTAATGAAACTATTGGAATTTTTCATCAAATGAAATTGATTACATTAATTTTACTTCGTAAAATTTTAGATTTAAGTTATACAATTTTTTATTTTATGATGTATTTATTAGAATATTTAACAAATCTTTATATACAAACATACTTTAAAAAAATTAAAACTATTAAAACTAATTATTATTTTTATTGATGTTGTTATAATCCGAAAATTGGATAATGTTTTTCTAATAAAATAATCATAGGCAGTATATAAAATTGTTTATTTTACGCATCCTTTATGTTACGTTAGTAAATTTTCAAAAAGATTCGTAGGTTTAAATCATAATACATTTTAGCTTCGATGCGAAGCTGAGAAGGTATTGGTTTTACTATGATATGTTTTTTTTTTTTGTTTCTGTTACCACTTTTTCTCAGCTCTCACCGAACGGATTTCTTTCAACGATACGTCAAAAGATCACAAATCGTATCTAGTCGAATACATTACCCTTCAAAATTGAAAAAATTTCCCTCGTTCCCCGTAAATGGGGGAAACCTCCAAAAAAATTACAAATTCAAAAATCGCTAATTTTCGAAATTTTTTCAATTTTTTTTACTAAAAACTGTCGTAACTTTTTCAAAAATGAACATATGAATATAATTTTATTTTTATAGATGCTTGATGTCTTTACTTATCATTTGGTATATTTTTTTTGTAAATTTGACACTTAACCTGCCCACAGGGGGGGATTTAAAATGACAACTTTTTCACAAAAAATTTACTTTTTCAACATAACTTTTGAAAATGTTCCGGAAGGTCTGACACTTTTATATATATCTTAAATTAAAGCTAATGTAATATACTTTAATTTGAAAAAAAAAAATTTGACCTCTGGACTTGTCTTCACGGCGAAAATGGCTACCGAATGCTATTTTCGTGTGAAAATTCTCGATTTTATTATTTATATTATATTTAACTTTATAATGCTATAACTTATTGAAAAGTTTATGGATCCACACAATTTTTTTATGAGAAATAATATTTTTTAATAAACCCTTTTTCATTCGACATACTTTATCTTAATCGAGATATTAATAAGGAACCAGCAGATCAAGTAGCTTTTGGAATAAAACACCAATTTTTTTTAAATTAAACACTATTTAAAGATTTGCATCGAAGCGTTTATTTTTGATAGTGATTTTAATCACTGTCAGATATCATTATACTTGATCTATCTATGCCACGTCACCACTGTGCCGCAAACCCCAGGTGCTGGGTTTTTTTGAATTATAGTCATTATCCAATTTAATTATGTAATAATTAGCAACACTTTATTAATAAAAGTAATTTAATAAACACATAAATTCAAATTGTTTTAAATCTTTTTTAAATGAAATTATATTTATAAATGTTTCATTTCTTTTAATGTATTATTTTAAATTAATAAATTATTTACACAACATTTTTGAAAATAGTTATATAGTAGTGTAGTAATATTTTTTTTATTTTACATAAAATATTAAATCATGATATTGACGATGTGGACCTTACTTTTCTTATTTATTTAATTGAAATGTGTATTAGAACACATTCTTTTAATGTAATAATATCTTATTAAATTTTAAAACAGCATTTACTATTTAATATACTTTAAAAATGTTCCAATATACACATATTTTATCATTCTCCATGTTATCTGTATGTCTGTAAATAACATATTTTCTTAAAGTAACGCCTTATTAAAATGCTTTGATACGTATTTAAAGAAAACATAAATATCCATTTTTTATTTAAAATCACTTTCTTTATGGTAAGCATTTGTAAATATAACTAGATAGAGGGTCTACAAAGAATGTCTTAGATTTAAATAACAACTGAAATTTAACTTTTGACGCAATTATCATTTTTTGAAAATTTTTTTTTAATAATTATTGA